ATAATTGTTATATCCTCTGGTTGGATTGACCTCTATCATTATGTAATGTCCTTCTTTGTCTCTTGTGACTTTCTGTGTTTTGAAGTCTATTTTGTCTGATAGAAGTACTGCAACTCCTGCTTTTTTCTCTCTATTAGTTTCATGAAGTATCTTTTTCCATCCCTTCACTTTTAGTCTGTGTTTGTCTTTTGGTTTGAAGTGAGTCTCTTGTAGGCAACATATAGTTGGGTCTTGTTTTTTTATCCATTCAGTGACTCTGTGTCTTTTGATTGGTACATTTAGTCCATTTACATTTAGCATGATTATCAATAGGCATGTTCTTATTGCCATTGCAGGCTTTAGATCTGTAGTTTCCAAAGGTTCAAGGGTAACTTCCTTACTATCTTAGAGTTTACCTTAATTCATTTAATATGCGATTATAAATACAATGTAAAGGTTCTTTTTTTTCATTTCTCCTTTTTGTTCCTTATCCATTCTTTATATATTAGGGATCATATTCTGCACTTTTTGTCTGTCCCTTGACTGACTTTGGGGGTAGTTTATTTAATTTTGCATTTGCTTAGTAATTAACTTTCTACTTTCTTTACTGTAGTTTTATTACCTCTGGTGACAGCTATTTAGCCTTACAAACACCTCCATCTATAGCAGTCCCTCCAAAATACACTGTAGGTGAGGATATGGAGAAAGGGGAACCCTCCTACACTGCTGGTGGGAATGTAAATTAGTTCAACCATTGTGGAAAGCAGTATAGAGATTCCTCAAAACACTCAAAACAGAAATACCATTTGACCCAGGAATTCCACTCCTAGGAATTTACCCTAAGAGTGCAGCAGCCCAGTTTGAAAAAGACATATGCACCTCTATGTTTATTGCAGCACTATTTACAATAGCCAAGAAATGGAAGCAACCTAAGTGTCCATCAGTAGATGAATGGATAAAGAAGATGTGGTACATATACATACTGGAATATTATTCAGCCATATGAAGAAAACAAATCCTACCATTTGCAATAGCATGGATGGAGCTAGAGGGTATTATGCTCAGTGAAATAAGCCAGGCAGAGAATGACAAGTATCAAATGATTTCACTCATATTTGGAGTATAAGAACGAAGAAAAAAACTGAAGGAGCAAAACAGCAGCAGACTCACAGAACCCAAGAATCGACTAACAGTTACCAAAGGGAAAGGGACTGAAGAGGATGGGTGGGAAGGGAGGGATAAGGTGGTGGGGAAGAAAGGGGGCATTATGATTAGCATGCATAATGTGGGGGGAGCATGGGGAGGGCTGTACAACACAGAGAAGACAAGTAGTGATTCTGCAGCATCCTACTATGCTGATGGACAGTGACTGCAATGAGAGGGGAGACTTGGTTATGTAGGGAATTTAGTAAACATAATGTTCATCATGTAATTGTAGATTAATGATTACAAAGAACTCAATGGAAAAGAAAGAATAATAAAAAATACACTGTAGGAACTGTTTGTGGGGGGTAAATTCTGTCTGCTTTAGCTTATCTGGAAATTATTTAACCCCTCCTTCAAACTTAAATGATTATCTTGCTTGGTAGAGTATAGAGTATTCTTGGTTCGAGGCCCTTCTACTTCATTGCATTACATATATCATGCCACTCCCTTCTGTCTTGTAAGGTTTCTGTTGAGAAATCTCATGATAGCCTGATGGGTTTTCCTTTGTATGTAATCTTTTTTTCTCTTTCTGGCTGCTTTTAATAGTCTATCTTTATCCTTGATCTTTGCCATTTTAATTGTTATATGTCTTGGTGTTGTCTTCCTTGGGTCCCTTGTGTTGGGAGAGCTGGGCACCTCCATAGCCTGAGAGACTTATGTCCTTCCCCAGATTGGGGAAGTTTTCAACAATTACCTCCTCAAAGACACACTATCTCTCTTTTTCTCTCTCTTCTTCTTCTGGTACCCCTATAATACGAATATTGTACTGTTTGGATTGGTCACACAGTTCTCTCAATAGTCTTTCATTCCTAGAGTTCCTTTCTTCTCTGTGTGCCTCAGCTTCTTTGTATTCCTCTTCTCTAATTTTCATTTCATTTGTCATTTCCTCCACTGTCTCTAATCTGCTTTTAAACCCTCCATTGTGTTCCTTAACAATTGGATCTCTGTCCTAAATTCATTCCTGAGTTCTGGAGTATTTTTCTGTACCTCCAGGAGCATGTTTATGATGTTGATTTTTTAATCTCTTTCAAGAAGATTGATTAGGTCAGTCTCACTTAACCCTTTTTCTGGTGTTTGTGAGATTTTGGTTTGAATCAGGTTCCTTTGATGTTTCATATTTGTTTGTGGCATCCTCTAGTACCCAGAAGCTCTACTCTCAGGAGCTGTTCAGCCCCTAGAGCGATGTTGGGGTTCACAGGGGAGTGGTGCTGGTGCTGGGGAGGAGGAAAGAGCTGTTCCCTGCTTTCCAGCTGCTATGTCTGTCTCCATTGCCATACTAGTGGGCTGAAAATACAGGTGTAAGCCTCTGTGCTTTGCATTTATAGCTGCTGTAGGTGGGGCTTCCCTCTGGCTGGCCTGACGCTGGTGCAGGGGTTGCCGGTTTGCGAGGCAGGTGCAGGCTGGCCAGGAGGAAGGCACAGCAGGCTGCATATCACTGTGTGGGTCTTTGGAGCTGCATAGCCAATCAGGGGGTTGGAGTACCTGAAGATCCTGAAAGTTCCCAACCTTCTGGGCAGAGTGCACCTGGACAGTCTTGTTTACCTGTCCTTCTCCTGAGCAGTAAGCTTCATTCAATCCTTGCCCCTTTAGCAGCCCTCTCTCGCTGTTAGGAAGTCTCTCACACTGCCTTCCCAGAGCAGCCAGATATGGATCCCTGTTTTCCACAAGCAGTTGGAATCTCATTCTTTCCAGGTACTCCACCTGTCTTAGCTTTCCAACCCCACCAGTCAGCAAGGCACCATGCAGTGTAGGTTCATGCTTCCAGAGCAGATCTCCAGGACTGGGTGTTCAGCAGTCCTAGGCCTTCACCCCATCCCCGCTCTGTCTCTCTTCCTCCTGCCCATGAGCTGGGGTGGGGGAAGAGCTTGGATCTCCTGGGTCACGGCTTTGGTATGTTACCCTGTTCTGTGAGGTCTGCTCCTTTCTCCAGGTGTATGCAGTCTGTGCAGCCTTCTTTCCTGTTGCTCTTTCAGGATTAGTTGTATTGATTATATTTTCATATTATATGTGGTTTTAGGAGGCAGCCTCTGGCTCACCTCTCACGCCACCATCTTTAATCTCACCATTTCCTCCATGTCTTTTCATGGCTTGATAGCTCATATCTTCTTAGCATTGAACAGTAATCCATTGTCTAGTTGTAACACAGTTTGTTTATCCATTCACCTACTAAAGGACATTTGGTTGCTTCCAAGTTTTGGCAGTTATGATTAAAGCTGCTGTAAACATTCACCAAGCAGGTTTTGTTTCCTGCCAGTCACTTAACCTCTATGGAGCTCAATTTTCTTAAGTGTAAAATTTAGTTGATGATTTCTAAGGTTTCTGATGTTTGAAATTATGTTGTTATCTAGATTAAAAAAATAAAATCTTATGTTATACTGATTAGGAATAACTCAGGAATTGCCTGTATGGTGATGACATTATAAGTTGATAAAGCCTATCTAGTTGAAAGCAGTCAGGCCCTATATAGCAAAAATTATACATTCTCTATTGTGTTCTGATCAGTTAATTCTATTTTGAAAGGGGTATAATTCAGTAAACCCAAATGGAGGTTAGGAAATAATATCATTTTTTAAAAAACAAAGATATTTATAGCAAGGTGATTTCTAAAAGCCAAATAAAACAAAACTGTGGATACAATCAAATGCCCAGTATTGGGGAAATGCAAAGTAAAAGTTCGTGAGGGCAGGGATCATGACTCTATTCTGACTAGGTGTACATAGCACTTTACTCAGTGTGAAGTTCTAAATATTTGTTGACTGTAAAAATAGTGAATAAAAGAACTTAAGGCAAAGAGAATAATTTTTACATAATATGAAAGAGTGGTGGCATTCTGTTCTTCCCTTTGCTGCTTTCCATCGCTCGTTGCTACAACTCAGCTGCCTTGGTTCACGCCTGATGTCTCTGTGTGAAGCTTAGCAATATCTCTTTTCACTCTTGAGGCCTTCCTGCTTTGGACAGTAGGTCACCATTTAGCTGAGGGGCTGACATTCTGTTTACTGTAGCACTATAGTTGTGAAACATTTCCTTGTTTTTTCAGTTCAGTTTAGTTTAAAAAATTGAACCCTCAATGGAGGTAAGAAACATCTTAAATTTATTGTACTGTGAGACAAAGGAAATTCAGACAAAGCCATTGTCACCAAAGAATTTGACTTTAATGCCTTTTTCTTATTAGTTTACTTTGGTAACTCATAGCCTGATTCAGAGTCAGAAGTGCTCCTAGACCCATGCCGCTGCCCTGGTCTTATTTAGAAAACCCTTTTCTGGCTTTCCTCTGGCTGCTTGCCTTCTGTTCCTGTGGACTGTAGGGAACATTCCCATCTAAGAACCTATGCCACCACCACATGGCACTATGGGTGTTTTGGTTGGAATTCTTCATCCAGATACTTTGGAGACTGTTTCCAGGGCCTGCATGAACCTCTTCCCTTGGATGCTTTCATACAAGGCCACTCAAAGTGACAACTAAGCCAAAGGAGAGAGGAGAAGAGAATGGCAGGAGCTGGGTAGGCTCTCCACAACCTTACACGTTCTGAAATTAAAGACTTATGATTTTATACCTGGCCTTCAATAGGGCATTGAGCAGTCATTGCACATGCATTTTTTTTTCAAAGATACTACTATGCCAAAAATAATGTGACTATTCACCATGAATTTATCTATGGTTCTCTTTCATATCTTGTAATAAAGATGCTTTTATTCCAAAAATAGAGTATATTTTTGTATTTGATTGTTTTATATAGAACATATTAGGAATAACTGGAATAATCTCAATAAATTTATATGTATATGTATTTTTGTATTATATTCTTTCTTTATAGGCTCTTAAAATTAGAGAGATCTGTAATTGCCCACCACTTGCTGGACCAGACCCTCGATTATTATTCAAACTCAACATGAAGCATTTTCTTGAAGCATCAGAGACAGATGACCTAAATATCACTGTTAAGAAACAGAAAATGGATACTCCTCCCATTCAAAAACAGAAGCAAATACCATTAACATAGATAGTTGAGAAAAGAACAGGCAACTGAGTTAAAATTCATGGCACGTAGGATATATGAAGAATGCATCAGTCCTTATTACTTTTGTTACTTTTAAAAAATGTTTGAAATAAGTGGATATTCAGGGTCAAATCATGTATATTACATGTATTATCTAAATTCTGGGTATTTATTTTTCATGAAATATTGATGTATTTTAATCTATTTTAAAATACCTTCAATGAGGAAAATGTCACAGAATAAATTTCTATTACACATTTTACTCTGTCTCATACTTGCTTTTTGTTTGGAAGGCTGATCTCTAGTGGATGATAAATCAGAATGCTAAGTAATTGCTAGGGTAGAGAGGGTTCCAACTGAGGCTAAACTGGTTTCAGAGTCTGGATGGTTATGATGAACTGGGAAATTGACAATCTGAAACATCTGTTTGCAGAAGTTGGTTTGCACTGGGGTGGGGTTATGTGAACAGGCAATCCTGGAATAGAGACTTGCCTGGTCCTCCCTTATGAACAGTGAGGGAGAAAGGCTATATAAGCAGAAGCTAAAGAAACTGCTCAGAAATTATTATGTAAGTTTTAAAAATCTATCACTATTTATATAATATTATTTGTACTCCCAATCTGGTGAAGTCTAGTGATGTTGAGGTGTATTCCTAAGAGGGACTTTTATCTTGAAATGCATTATATTACATAAATGGTTTCCTAGAGAATTAAAGGGGAAAGAAACTACTATTCAGTGAGTATCTACTATGAGTTGAGCTCATGTATTACAAAACCCTATGAGTAGGTTTTATTATCATTTTACAATGAGAAGCAGGCAGTAATATAACCGATGTCTCACCCTAGAAAGAACAAAAGTAGATCTATCTGACTACAAATCTGACCATTTCCACAACTCTCAGGTATCTGAAACTAAGTTATCAAAAAGACAAGGGACAAACTCTCAGTTTGTTAGCTTCCTCATGCATGTCTTCAATATAGGCAAAAATTCTGAAAATTATGAAATCAGGGATCACTTATAGTACATCTGCAAGATGATTTTCCAGGTCCTCCTTTCAGACCTTTCTTTGAAAATTTAGATAAGAAGCCCGGACTGAGGCTGAGTAGGAGAGTGGAGCCTCTTCTCCTGCCTGTGAAAGCCTGTGACTTCTCATTTGGGTGTGTCCTGACACTATTAAATTTTCTTAGACAAAATATTTACCTAGTTGTTAGAGGACAAGTTCAGAGTCTGTTTATGTTTTTCAGGGCCTGCTTTAGATTGCTTGAAAGGAATTTCTTGACCTGTACACAAGACAGTACTTCTAAGGAGGAGGCTCAGATTAAGTGTTCTCCATGTAGTCATTCTTTGCACTGCTAGTGATTGGAGTTATGTCAGATGCACTCTGTTACATGTACAGACATTTGGAGAATGTCACCCAGAGGTAAACAGTAAAACACACCATTAGATTTCCCTGTGGATTTCTTTAAAAAATAGTATAGTGTAGACCCTAGTCTGTTTTCTCTTTCATCCTATTATCACCTCTAATCGTATTGTTCAGACTTCCTAGAAAACATATACAAGTTGACATCATGTCAGCAAGAGCAGAGAAAATACAGATAACACCTTTATAGGATATAATGAAAAAGGTACTTTTCAGCTTATATAATCAAATGTAAAAGAAATGTTAAATTTCGGCTCACGGTTTTACAAGAATTTAGATAGCTGTGGAATGTTATATGTATACATATGCTCTGAGTTGTATGTGGAAACAACCTCTGTTCTGCATTTAGTTGCATAACGCTGTCGGTGCTTGTCATGTGCCCATAGGATTCAGCTGTTGCCTGGTTAGCTCAGGTGTTAGGAGCATGAAGCCAGTAAATCCAGAGCCTGGATTCAACCCCATCTCCCCTATAATGCAGATAGCTGTAAGACTGTGTCCTCTGAAACTCAAAGAGAATATGTATATTTATTGCTAGGTACCGAGTACCTAATAATTTTTGGCACATAATCAACACTCAGCTAGTATTTTACCAATACTATATACTCAACATCATCTGGCCAAAGGATTTAAAAAATGGGAGAAACACTCATACTTGGTGAAATCTCTGCCTCTTGGTAGCCATGGGACCCTGAGCAAGTCACTTAAACTCTACCCTCATTTCTTAATTTGTAAAATGCGGATAACCGCTCATGGGTTGATGTGATAATTAAAGGAAATGATGTACTGAAAGCATTTAGCAAATGTCTAGAGCCCCAAACAATAAAAGTAGCCACAATTTATTGAATGCTTTCTTTGTAACAAGCACTGTGCTAAGCATTTTCAAGCACTGTTGAGCTCCCCTGCAACTCTATATATGATAGATAGTATTTTATTTTCCACTATAGACCAGGGAACTGAAGTTTACAGCGTTAAAGATGTTGTTCAAGATTAGATGGTGTATTTCTTATGATTATTTTACTTTTAAGAACAGAAAAAAAACACCTGAAACTCAGTTAAGAAAACTTATTGCCTCATCTAACAGAAAAGCCCAGAAGTACACTAGCTTTGGACACAGTTTAGTCTGGAGGATCATGACAGCATCAGAGCAATGCTCTTTTCCCTGCAATGTTTCTCAGCTTTTGCTTCACCCTTCCCTGATGATATCAAGATGGCTGCTGGCAGCTGCCAGGGTTACGTGCTTCATTCATAGCCAGGTGGGGAGAGTGACTCACAACTATTGGAATAAGGCCTTCCGTACCAACTGCATGCTGTAAAGAGCATCTCAGAAGCAATCATCATGGCAGGGGATGGGACTTCCTGACTGGCTGCAGCTGAGGATGGCTACAGTTGGCACCACCCAAACAGAGTGACTGCAGATGGTAGGAGCCATGTAACCACAGGGTCCATTAAGTAACTGGAATAAAGACCTGTTACATTTGTCCTCTTGGATCAGGCAAAGAAACAAGATAATTCCTTGATGATTTTGAGCAAAAAACAATGAAGCGTAAATTTGAAATTGATAGGAGAGGGAATTTGCATTTGTAGATTTGCTTTACCATTTACAAGATATGATTTTTCTGACCTGAATTATCTCATATCCTCAAGACCAACCTATGCAATTGGAAGGACAAATGGCATTATTTACTCAGGGGAGAAAACTAAACCTTGAAGGAATTAGGCAAGTTATCTAAGAATGCACTTCGAGCAAATAGCTGAACTGGGATTAGAAGGAAAGGATTCATTGATTTGTAATCCAGTGCTCTTGCAGCAATACCATATTCTTTGGAGACGGAAGTATTGCCTCCATTTTTTATCTGGTAACCAAAGCCCAAATATATTAAGCAGCCATGTGTCCAGCACTACTCAGCTTGAAATGGTAGAACTGAGATTCAAACACTCATCTTCTGACTCCAAAGTCTGTGTTCTTCATCCATTTTCTGCCACATCAGTTGGAAAATCTCATAAAGGAAGTGGAAATAAGAAGAGTTTATTTTCCTTCACCTGTCACTTGTGAACAGCAAGGCCAATACCCTCTTTTCCTGTGTTCAAAAGCACTCATTTTAACACTCTGACAAGTGGTAACAATTTTCATTTTAAGTATATTCATATATGAGAAGGATAAAATTCCTGTTAATTGTCTCATAGCATGATTTCACTAGGGCCTGGAGAGTTTCTTAATCTGTGGTGAAAAAATCTCTCTCACTTCATTACTGGTAAGAAAGCCCTATCAGTGTACTACCCCATTTACACCTTACCCTCTAACTTCCATCAGAAAACCGGTAGCCCTCAAAGGCAGGCCTTTTAATCACCAAGGACTCTTTTCACATTTTCGTGGCTCTGTGTGCATGGACTTTTACATCACCAAGTTCTCTGTCTTGGAGGGCTGGAGCGTGGAGACTCATGACCAAAGCTCTTGCTGTGCTGGTGGTTTAGGAGTTGAGCTCTCTGGGCACAGAACCTGAGTCACAGTGTGGTTATGCTTCCAGGTCTCAGAATTTCTCTATCATCCAATACATCATAAGGATGTCTGATAGCCATGCGATCCCTGGCATTACCAAAATCCTATCTGAAAGAAAAATGTGTGCTTTTAATTAATCTGGGTGGCCTACTTATGTGAGAGAAAATGTAAAATGTTTAGATAGGCTCTTTGAAATATTAAGTATAGCTGACAGATTCCCAGAACCATCTTCACCTGCAAGGGGGCCTGGGACCTCATTCTGGGCAGCATGGAGCTAAACTCAGATTTTTTTCCTCTTCAGAATGTAAAAGAAAAGAAAATTACCTTGTATTAATTTTTACTAGTATTTCAAAGTAGAACAAATTTTTGTAAGGGGTGATGGATGGTCTACTTAAGCATTATGTTGTTTTGTATTTAAGGATATATTTTTTAAAGTAACTTGCTTTTGCACAAAAATAAGTTGAATTTAATTTTTTCCACAACTATTTCCCTCTGATGTTATAGTAGCCTTGAGAGATTTGAGGATAACATGACTAGTCTTATTTTTTCTTTGGCGATATGGGATGGTAACATTTGCTCTGCTTACTTGCAGGTTTATTATGGGTTTTGAATATAGTAATGTGTATATGCTTTGTACAACATCCCAAATATTATATCCATGCTGATTCTTGTAGTCCAGCATTGCTTTAGTCAAGGCTATAAGATTATTAGTTAGCAGAGGTTATTTCTAACAGGATGGCCTTTGGCCTGATCTGATATAAACCAGAGTTGATGATGATATGCTCTTACTCAAGTGTGAAAAAAAGGGAAGTGTTTTAGTTTGACCTCTGAGCATGTATGTATCTGTGTGTGGTTAACTTACTTATTCTATTATTCTGTAATGGCTCTGGTCTAGAATGTTCCTGATTTTCATCAATTTCTTTGTTCTGATGATGCCTAAATCTAGAGAAAGAAGGCTAATCTCTTCCCAGAATGGCCAGCCTGTTCTCTAGGTGATGGACTCAGAGAATGGGAGCTAATGTTTGTTCAGCCCTACTAAGGGCAAGATACCACAACCATTCTCACCTTTTACTCTTCACAGCATCTACTCAAGGCTTGGGTTACTTTCCCCATTTACAGGTAAGGAAAAATTACACACGACTGTGTAATTTGGCTGGGGTCACACAGATGGTCCAGGAATTTGACTAGTTCTGTGAGACTCTTACTGACTTTCACATGTTTCCTCTCACATACAGAAAATGAAAACAGTCATCAGGGCAACATAGGAAACATTTGGGGTCCTTTCCTTTTTCTACTGCCTGAGCCTTTTCTCCTGGTCCACAATC